TTTCTTTATTGCTCTGCCCACGCTCACATATGAGAAAAAGATCATGTGTGGTGCTCGGTCGTTCCCAAATCATTATCTGCAGCCCCTCCTGAGAGGGTGGGTGGATTCCTCATACAAACACACGCACACATGCACATACAGACATCATAGACAACAGGCGTGGGAGAAACACAACTATAAATCGTGTAGGGTGTGAGAAGAAGACAGAGGGGGCAGAACAAGCAGTCACGAAGCATCCTTCCTTCTGTGTAATGACATTTAGATCCATTCTCCAGTAAATCTAAAGGGATCGGTGTGTTCGGTCTCACCCTGCGCTCCCTGTCCCTGCTCCTGTAGAAAAGGGTGAGGAAGTTCAGGTCTGATGTTCCTGACTCGGTCTGCCGTGCCTCAATGAGCCGCCCGATGTAGCGGTTGACTCGTGTGGCCGGTGAGTGCTGTACGGCAGTGGCCGAGAAGGATGTCCGATTCCTCAGCTTCTCCGAGGCGGTCCGCAGGGCTCGCCGCTGTCAGAGGCAAGACAGAAAGAATTAAAGAATAAAAAAAATCTTCATCTTGAACAACTGTTGTGCTTCAAAATGTACCTGAAGCAGCACATTTTCATCGCCAAGAATTGGAAATGAGTCATTTTACTTTAGAAAATGAGGAGGTAATAAAATGTAGAAATAATAATAATAATAATAATAATCTGAATAGTTGTAGGTCATCAGTATTAATGGAATTCATAAAACATTCATTTTCTACACTTTCCAGCAGTGTAATTCTATTATAATCTGTTGTTAGGCTTGGATTTCGGCCCCTTGGATAATCATGTAACAATAATGCTATTAGAGGAGATGATACCAATATGTGGGTGATTAATGCAACCTCATCAGAAACAAGAGGTACTAATGATGGGGGAAGCTTGCGCAGCAGTGTGGATTACAGTCAGCTGGCTTTTTCTGACAGCCAAACATTGTGATGTCATGACCCTAATAAACGGGCTCTGACTGACCGACAGAAACAAACTGGTGGACATGTGACTGACACCCTGCTGTGTCACAGCACAATGAAAGTTAATATATTCAGTGGTGAGGAGAAATTAATCCCAGTTCTCTTAAGTTAATTCAACATTTTCTTTTCTTGTTGTTTGGCGTTGGCAAGAAAACAAGCGAGATTGAAGTTAAACATCAATAAAGCTTCAGTTTTAAATTTATATGCAACTTAAGGAAACAGGGATAATCAGTATGATAAAACTAAGACACCAGCATTGGTCAGAGAAGTGTAGAACCACTAGACTGAGGAACAGCTTCTACCTTGAGGCTGTTAGACTCATTAATCTCTAACCAGGATAATCACTGTGAAAAATCACATGTTGCTGCTGATCTGTTTCATGTTGCTGCTGATCTGTTTCATGTTGCTGCTGATCTGTTTCATGTTGCTGCTGATCTGTTTCATGTTGATGCTTTCATGCATGCTCATCTGCTCACACAGACTCATGCTCATGTTCGTGCTGCTGTTTGAAGTAATGTTTTTGTACTATTAGTGCTTAGTGTATTTTTAGTTGATGTTTTTCTTAGTTCACATCTTAGATGTCATCATTGTTTTTCTTTTACATTTTTATTCTTGGATGTAACTGGGACCCTGTGTACATAATTTTGTCGCACCACATGTGGTACGAACGACAATAAAGAATCTCTGACTCTGAAATTGTTAGAGTCAGAAACGTAGTTAGCTGGAGCCATGTGAGGACAGAAAAAAGTAAAACTGCCTCAAAAAATGTGGTGAACTTTTTTCCATAGCAGTTTTTCATTTGATTAATGCACACAAAGATATTTTTATATAAAAACGTTCAACATAAATAAGCAAAGTTTATTTATGTAGCTTATCTCATAGTTATAAAACAAAGTGCTTCACAATCAAGGAAAGAAATAATATACTGTATGTTCAACCAAATACATACAAACATCTATGCACATATAAAAGCATACAGTTTAACTGTACAGACAACCAAAGCTCAATAATCCAGGTAAAATGTTGTAAAATATGTTCAGTCAGGTCAGGTGGATTTTTTTTCCCCCACTATGGAGGATGCTGTTTGTGGGAATCATGATGGAAATCAGTTTGTTTAGGTGGCTCCTCAGATTGAAGAAGTCCTTTGGATGAAGGATGAAATGTCTCATCAAAAAAAAAAACTCGTCCAGATGATCTGACTGAACATTATTTGCTTTACAGAACACAAAATATCAAAGTCATGCATTGAACTAAAATCCAGTTTATTTAGGAATGTCTTTAGATATTTTTTAATTGCACCAATTGAATGTAGGCTGCATAAAGATGGAGGCCAGCCGTTCCAAAGTTGAGGTGCAATTACTCTGAATGACCTATCCTCTTGAGATTTAAATTCAGCTGAATCAAGTCAGAGATAGAAGAAAGGCTTGATTATGCAAAGCTCTTAAAGTCAAACTAGAATGAATTGGTTGTGATGTGTGCTGTTTGTTTATGTGCGTTTAGTCTTGCGGCTGAGATCTGAACAATCATACGACCATGTTTTTGTAATTTGAATAAATCATAGTGTAAATAAATCTAAATAATAGGGTTCAGTTGCACATGTCGCTCACCTTGTCATCGTCCTCGCAGGTCATGACGTTGGAAAAAGGGATCTCAGCCTTGAACATCTTCCTGCAGTGCATCAGCTGCACCAAAAGGTAACAGACTGTTTTAAATTTCATCCTCTTCGCTGGTTTGATGTCAGACAGGATGATGCCCGGAAAGATCTGGAAACAAGGATGAAGAACAATTAGATGCAAAAGAAAAAATAATTACAGAAAAGCCATTGAGTTTTTCAGGATTCTTTGCTCCTGTGTTTGTTTTTTAACTTTTCTTCTTTTCTGCATTTTTCCGCAACTGACCTCGTTTTATACAAATATACACATACGTTTTTTTTGTTTCTCACCAGACTTATAAAAATTAGTCATGCAAAACCCTAAAAGTCAACACTTTGTATTGATATTTATTTTCTAAAGTGATCATTCTTAGTAATTAGCATACAATTTAAAAATCACAACACACTTTCATCCGCTATGAAAGATGGGTGATACGGTAATTGCCCGTGTTTTGTGTATGTATTTTAGTCTATCTGTTGGCTAATATCTCATGAACCAATGGACACTCTCAGAAGGTAATAATTGCAATTTTATAAATACATAACTTATGGAGTCACCCCAATTTAAGATGGCTACCATAGCTAGTCAACATTAGCTTACACAAAAATGGATATAACAGTCTGCTTTATAGATCTTAAGCTAAATTGTATTGTAGTTGCTGCCAAGACTCATTTACAACACATTTTGTGTGCTAACAAATAGCACAATATCTGAGTTTATAGTATAAAGTTATGCATAACATTATTTGCAAGATTTTACTGAAAGACTTTAATGCAAACATTTTTAATTTAAAACTCTTAAATCAAATGTGGAGGGCTGTGCAATTTTTTAAAAGAAAAAAAAAAAAACAAGTTTTGGAAATAATAAACCTGATTAGAATTTTAATTATTTTAGTGGCTAGGAGGGAAACATGACAAGAACTGCTAAAAATAAACATTCATAAAAAATATGTGGGCTAGATGGGGATTTTTATTGTAAACTGAGAGTGTGGAGCTATATAACTGGACATATAAACCATTTGCTTGTGTGCTTGTGGATTTTTCAGAGGATTTAAAAAGCTCAGAGAAGGCACAAACACCAATTGCATCTGCACGTGCAGTGGTCTGAGGCAGTTTTACTCTCCGTGTATATGGCAGCTTAACGCACAACTTGCTCTCATCAGGGGATTATTTATTACAGCACAACACTGACAGTTGCGTCACCACAACCACAGGTTGTTTATTGGTAAAAGGTGAGGAATAAATAATCTAACATACTTTGCGTCTGTGTGACGGCACAATGAAGAATGTCTCGATGTGGTGCTTCTGCAGGAAGGAGTGCCTCTCGTGACCGAAGCCTGGTTCCACCTCGTAGTCTCCATTCAGGCACTCCAGGGTGGTCCTCGTGATGTGCACCTTGCTGAGAGGAAGAAAGTTAAAAGTAAGCTGCTGAGGTTTTCAAATCATTATCGCCCTCATTATTTTTATCAGGCTAATAACCCATCGTTTGCTCAAAACTCTTCACAGCCAAGAATTTTTTATCCTAATGACTTGTTTAATCAGGCACAGAGAGCTGAAATCTCATTGCTTCGCCGGAAACGAGCAAACTGGGTAAAAGAGATGACCTCATTTCACTGTGTTTAAATGCAGCTCTGCCTATTGCTGTACTTGAGTTTTCTTAAACATTGAGAGATTATTTTAACACTTGTGCTCGGCTTCATTTTTAACTTTAAGTGCTTTAGTTTTTCAGCAGTACTTCCAATTAAATTTTACAAGAAAAGTAACTTGCCTAAAATGTGACCTTGTACAGAGAAGCACCATTTATGAAGTTGCTCTTAAAGAATATAATTAATCAATATTTTACTTTTTAATACAATAATGCTCTTTTCCATCTGCATTAAACCAGAAGGGTCAATTAGTTGCTCAGACAGACAAAAATAATAATTACACCTGGTTGAGGGCCTATTTCACTTTACCCAAAAATACTGATGCTATATCTGGCGGTCACTGTGCGAGAGGCAGAGTCCACCCTGGACAGGTCGTATGTCCATCACAGAGACACATAAAAAAAAACAAGACATACACTCACACTCTCATTCACATCTAGAGACAATTTAGAGTACCCAATAAACCTAACACGCATGTTTTTCATCTGTAGAAGGAAAGTACAGAAGGAAACAGCGAAAAGCCCATGCATGCACTGAGAAAACATTATTTATTCCCAATTCGTTAGGGAATTTGTAATAAACATAACTTGACTTAAAAAATAAAAATATCAAAATTTGAAGAACATATTCATCTTTTAATGTATTGCTCTCTGAGGTTTTTCTGATTTGATTTTTGGAATTACATTTTGAAAATATATCAAATGAATAAAAATACCCAGAGATATCTGAACATAGCTACTACTGCTACTACTAAATAATACCAAAAATAGTACAACAAAAATATCTGACCCACATAAACTCAAGTATTGTTTTTTTAAATTATTTTTTGTTTTGTGTTTTTTACTGCATATGTATTGGCAAGAGTTTGTTCCTATTTAAATTTTCATACTTGTTCTTTCCAGGTCAAATTCACACAGATTACTAAGAGTTTTACTACAATATGGAGGTTCATTGTGATCTGTACATGACAAAAACGTGATACCACAGTTGTTCTGTAAAGATAAATTATTATCCTTCTTTATAACTTGCAATAATGACAAAATAAACCTAAATTAGGGTATTAACTTTTACAAATACAGCAGTGTCACTGCATTGTCAAAATGTTTTTAATAAAATCTGGAAAAAATTGAAACATTTGATGGATGAGTCTCAACTTTTATTAGTATGCTGTTTTTGGAAATGCTTTTATTTTATGGTTTGTTGGTTGTTTTTCATCTGAAGATAGAGCAGACACTCAGATCATCTGATGGAACAGCATCACATTTTGTAAAAAAAACAAAACACTTTTTTCAAGATACTGTACTATACACCAAATAAATAACTTAACCTCTATATTTATACAAGAGTGCATATTTTTTATTAAATGCCTAAAGGTAAAAATGAGACACTTTTACCTCTGTGTTGCATCAGCTCTTCTTTTAGAAATGTGTTAAGTGTTTGGGAGCAGAGAAGACACACTGCTCTAAAATATTTAATTTGTTTGATGAGGATTAAAGTAACTCAACTGTTCCTGCCTCAATTCTCATAAAATATTTGTAAATTGTTGGTATTGTAACCAGAAAAATCTCTGATCATTACAGGTGTTTTCACTACTGACCCGGGCAGCCCTCCAGCCTCCATCACATTTGCCAGCGTGACATCATTTGACCAGACGTCATACTGCCACTTCCTCAAGCCCAGTACTCCACACAGAACTCGACCCGTGTGCAGACCAACTCGCATGTTCAGATCCACCTCTGTCGCCTCCACCACAGACCTGCGGGAAGGTTAAAATTTTAAATAAAACAAAAATAAGCATACCATGCACATCTTTTTGAACTATTTTACAAAAATCACCATAACATGCCCAGATGTTACCATTATTAGCTTTACAAGAAAGATTTGGAGTTCATAAGTTTGTTCTATGTTACATTTAGTGTTACTATTTAGCCTCAACACATTAGATATATTCTTCATTTGATTAAAAACCTAATGACTCATGCATAAAACTATTTTACATGCTACTGCATTATGTGCAACTGGTAAGTTTTTTGTTACTTTTTTGTTGACTATAAAATTTACTTGAGAAAGAATGTGAACACAATAATGATCATGTATTGATTTTAATAACTTTTAGTGTATGTAATTTTGGTCTGTAGCCTGCAAGTCTGTACTGCATCAATTCAGGAAGACCACATTTTAATAGACTCAGATCGGTATCAAGGACAAAAAAGTCTTGATTGAGGCATTCCTAGCTTTTATTGCAACATATGTGCAAATATTTTGCAACCAAAACCTTTGTTTACCGTATATTATTTTTACACAGCCCTTAAAAATGGGGATCCTAGCTTTCCATAACTTTGCCAAAGTAGTTTCCTATTTTTTAGTGTTCTGATCTGTATTCTTATGATGTTTCAACATTGCATCAACTATATTGTGCCTTTCTACTGCAGTAAATCATCTCACAAACCTCCTCATTGTCAGCAGGAGATCTGTCACTTTAAAAACAACAGAGACTCGGATGAGGCAGAGGAAGAAAACAGAAGGTGGTGAATAGTTGACAAAACTGTACGTTCATGTGACTAGATGGAAGAATGCAAAATTAAGCACTCTCAGTTGAACAGTTTGAAGAAGGAACGTCTTACACACATCCATGTGGATGAAGCATCTGTCCTCTGAGATAAAGGATTTTTGCAGAAGCATCCATCTACTCAGAAAGAGCAGCAGGGTAAAAGCTTAAGAAATGTGGAAAAGGCAAAGTGTGTTTGTGCCAGTTTTTTTTAAAGTTGTGTATAGACTCAAACAGCTTTGTTGTTCGTGAATCCAGAGACTTTAGAGAGGGTGGTCCCCAAAAGTAATGATCGAAAATTAAGTCCCCATCAAGCATGAAAACCAGTATGTGTGTGTGTGTGTGTGTCTCAACAAGTTTGCAGGGGAGGGTGGAAATCAATGCAACCCAAAAAAATTGGTTTAATAATTAGTGCAAGTTAAACAAATACTCATTCTCTAAATGGTTATAATGTGTGCCAAAAGTTTTCTCTTATTAAATTATTATTTTTTGTAAATTTACTGCCAATTTACAGAAAAAAAGCTAACAGGGATCAAACCTCTGTAGGAGTTACTGAAATAGAAAAAGCTTCTTAGTTTTGTGTTTATTTAGTAAGAAATGCAAGTGAAATGTCCAACAACTGCTTTAACTTGAAAAAAAAAAATCTAAAATCCGTATTTAACACTGACAAGAATCTGTCCGTTCTGCCTTGTGGACATGAGCAGGATGTGTGTGTGTTGTGCAAAAGTTATAAATATGTGCTTCTTACGCAATGGTGTCAATCATATCGAGTCCCATCTCTACGCAGCAGTGGGCGTGGTCCGCTTTGGGCTGCGTGAGTCCAGACACACAGTAGTAACAATCACCCAGTATCTTTATACGCCTGCAGTGATTCTCCTGCAGACACACAAACAGAAATAAAAGTGAAACTTCAAGTTTGGAGACACAGAAGTTCACCTTCCTTTTTGTCTTTAAATGTTTATGTCAAACATCAAATTCAAATCACTGACAGACTTTTTTTTAAACCAGATTAGGAAGTTTTTAGTTGTGATAATGCACCTTGTGCTCTGAGTTATCAGACAGATTGCCGAGTTGATCTTTTATAATCCTGTGAACAAGATGTGACAAAGATCCTACCATCCTGTTTTTAGCATCAACATATGATGCATAGTGTTGTAATACTGGAACAAATGTCCCTGCCATTTGTTAGGAATTGGGAGATGCCATGCTGTTTATTTGGAATGAATCAAAGTCTCATCAGGGATGTGGGGATTTATGCTCTGCCTACCTACACAATCACAGTGCCACATGAGCTTACTTTAAACCATGAATTAACAAATTACAGTGATGCTTATGGGATAAAAAAATGGTCCAGAGTTTTTATACATGGTCTGTGTTTAAAAGCTAAAATCTTGAAACATCTCATCATGGTGTATTTAAAAAAAACATAGGACTGAACAATGGAATGACAGAAAGAGGAGCAGGACATAAACATAACTTTCACAGCAGAAGAAAAATATTTGATCATAGTATTCTTAAATGCAACAACAACAAAAAGTTATGAGCAACACATGTGGCTCAGCTCACGGTCGACCTGCAGCACCATTAAAGTGATTCCCAAGGAGGTGAATCATTATTTAGCTGCTTTAATCAGCACCCAAACATTTTGGGTACAAAAATAAGCTGCCTAAAGACAAGCAGTGTCTGCTTCGATACACCTGCACTGTCCAGAGTCTGGGCCCAGTACATGAGCAATTCACACAATCCCATTGAGCCCTGACCCACCCTGACGTAGATGGTTCAATACTGAAGTAACTACACTGTGGATCTTGTAGAGGTTCATGTGGAGCAGGTGCCTCTGCAGAGATATATGCAAATGGTAAGTACATGATAGTAACCAATGTGTATGAAATGTTAATAATTTGTACAATCTGACAACCACTACAATTTAATGGTGATACAATACAAATTGATCAGCACTCATCTGGATAGTAATTACAAAAACTGCATGCCAACTTTTCAGCCAATAGCATTTTGGGAAAACAAAACAACGAAAATTAAAATATTTAATTTACAATAGGGGAAATTTACTAAAATGTCTGATTTTATGTAATCATTTTTTTTTTGATGTAGTGAGACTCATTTGAAGTTAAAAATTCAAGGCTCTTACTCAAAGCTTAAGCTGTATTTTCACAACACAAACCAACAACTAAACCACAGTTTTAGGAGGTAAAAATGTGTTTTACTTCTCTAAAAATTCAGATTTCTACTTATCAGTCATAATTACAGAAATGGCTAATTATGAAGAACTGTTTTTTAAGCCTTTTGATGTCTTAAATACATTCCCCAAGAAAAGTTAAGTTCAGCAGATTCTTGTGAAACTGCGGAAACCAAGTCATGACTCACTTCCCTGAACAACGTAATCATCCAGATGCACATTTGTGTTTTTTTTCATCTTTTATCTGTCAGATTACTGATGCTGCATCCTGATCATGTAAATCAGACGTGTTGCTCCAGAAACCATGTGTGTGTTTGTTGTTGAGGACAACTCTAATTGCTCCGACATGCTCTTGAAGTAGAATCCCTCCCACACATTCCCAGACAGATCCTCTATTTGTCACAGCGCACATTGTGCACAGAACTGGTGAGGATGACACGAGTGCAAAAAATAAACACACACCTCGGCAGCGAATGAGAAAACACAAAAAAGCTGCACGTTTACGTGCAAACACGCTGCAGCGTTCCTCCATTTACTTTCATGCACGCTGTTTCTTTTTTGGTAAGTGTATCGCTCACAGCCGTCGGACATAATAATGGCAAACCCTACAAAACAGTGCCTGCAGGAAGGCTGAGTGTGCAACACACACACACCTCCACACACACACAGGATTCATGACAACTGCAGGGTGAGAAGCAGTGATGAGAGCACAGAAGATGGGGTGCTCTGGTTTTCTGCTCACGGGAGCAGAAAGATTCTAGCGTGGGTGGATATGAGAATTCAGAACGTTGATGATTATCCCTGCACAAGGAACAGATGTGTGTGTGTGTGTGTCAGTGTGAGGAAAAATGAGAGTTGTCTGCTGACAGAAAGACGCCTTATGGTGGTGGTGGTGGGGGGTGACATCATTGTTAGAGAAAAATCTGAGATTTCAAACCCTGCAGGTTTGGACGTCAGTGCGTGCCCCCCTGTCGGACCTGATGGGCTCCCGTCTTCACCTGCAGCTGGTTGAAGGTTAGGGTTAGGTGTGAGTCTGATGCGGTTAGGTTTAGGTCGAGCCTTCGGGGGACTCCACGTGTCGTGCAGCGTACGAGAGTCAGACAGGCGCAGCAGCTGTGACCGAGCAGGTTGGAACGTGGATTTCTCTCGCTGGATAATGCGACAAAGTCTAAATCTCAATTAGGATGCAGCTGCTGTCGTGCGCACACACTGACACACATGCACGCATTACAGACCCATCACAAGATTTTCAAATTTTGCAGCACTAAAGCAGTGATAGTGAGTGTCGTATCACCCCATATCTTGCTCTCTCTCCTTCAGTTTCTCTGTGAAGTCAGAATGGATTCTAGGGAAGCAGGATTAACTTGACGGGACTGATCCTGCTGATTATACGACTTTGTGCGAGTTTGCTGTAAAATAAAAGTGAACTGATATTTTGTCCTCCTGGCAGGACAAGTTAAGCAGATGGAGGGGTTTCAAAATGAGAAAGCCATGCCGGATGCTCATAAATGACGTAAACATGCTGTAGTTTAATGTGTAGCAAGATCATTCTGAATTTAACATTTAGAACGTATCTCAGGGAGACATTTGTCTAAAAATTGTTGTTTGTGTCTTGTGTCATTTAGTTTTCTGTGATTGTGTTACTTGTTTCCAGCTTCCCCAGTGTTTCTCCCCTCATGTAGTTCAGCTCCTATCCCTCTCACTCTCAGCTGACCCTCATTGTCTTTCCCCAGGTGCTTGCCATTATCTGCCGTTAGTGTTTCTTTAACAACTTTCATTTTGTTTGTCTCTCACACATGCATTGTGCTTTTCACACATCTCATATTTATCCATTCAAGTCCCTTCAGTGTTTTCATCTATGAGTATGCGTTCAAGTTTTCATTCATTTGTCAGCCTTTTCTTTTGAAATTTGTTTAAATAAATTAACTGTTTTATGTTGGAGCATTTTGAATTTAGTTTTTTTTTTTTTTTTTTCCATTTGGGTTTTAATCTTCACCAGGCATGATAAAATTGAATTTAAATTGTAAGCAAAGTTGATAAAATTGAAATAGATAATGTGCTCTAGCGTTTAATTTAAACGTACGTGTAAGTTTTTATAGATAGGCATCTTTCGGAGCTGAACCATTTTTTCAGTTTGTATTTTGAACTGTAAATGTGACACTGTGGCCAAATTTCCAATGAGCAATTCAAAGAAATCATATCAAAGAAATATGAGCTTAACTACATGTTTAGGCTAAAATCTTATGAAATTTGGTCTAAAAGGGAACATTTGTAGATGTCTAACTTCTATTCATAATTTATTTTCTTCAGTTGTCAGGTCACAAAAGCAGCAGGTCCAGGAGGAAAAATCCGACCTCCCGATCCCCCAGTGATACTCTCCAGCTCCTGCTGGGGGATTCCAAGGTGCTTCCAGGCCGCAAATTGTAATCCCTTCAGTGAGCTCTGATCCACAATGGGGTTTTCTTTCAGTGTGACACACCTGGGAAAATAATCTGAGGCAGGAGACCAAGAGTCATCCTAACCTGATCTACCTTAGCTGGCACCTTCCAATGCAACGATGAAGCTCCTCACATTATCTTTGAGTCTGAACCTGGCCACCTCATAGAGGAAACTCATTTTATCTGATTTGCTCCGGTCTGTTGTGGTGAAGGAAATCTATATCAACCTTCACCTAATTTGGATCATGTCTCAGCTTAAAGTAGAGACTTGTCCCCAGTCCAACCTTTTCTTGTTGTCCACTTAAAAACACAACAACAACAACAAAAAACAGGCTTCCATGGGGTTTACCTGACCACATAACAAAAAATATAAAATGTAAGACATTGTAGCATGCATTTATATTTATTTTATTTAGTGTTCTCCTGCTCCCCATTATTTACCTAATCAGTCAATTTGATCCTCTGTTTGATTTGGTAACTGCCTTATCGTCATCTTCTGCCTATGGTTGTACTCTCAGAGGTTTATGTTATTTATTTCATTTTTAACCTTGGCACTTATCGTACAGTGGGACCTGTTGAACCCTGCCAGACTGGTAAAATTGATTCAATTCACATAGATGTTTGAGCAGACACTGAAACAATGAGAAACTCTCAGAAATAAATTTGTTTTAATGTTAGCGAAACGTTTAGACTCTGTGATGGACAGGTGACCTGTCCAGAATAAGCACTGTCTCTTTGACAGCTGTCTCTTCCATCTGATAGTCCAAACAAGACCAGGCAGGTTTGGAAACAGTTCCGATGGGTTGTATTTAAGGGTTTTAATTATTGGAGGCAGGGACATGTTTGTGGCTTGTACAGTTTTAATATGATTACAGTGGTCTGGCTGCAGAAAACCTACCACTCACCTAACATTTCCTGGAGAACTATGCTGCAGAAGCTCACTGATGCACTGTGGAAACATGCACACTCGCAGCAGTCCCAGTGGTGTTTCATCACACACACATTCACACTCTGAAACAATCCACCTCCTCAGCGCTTATCTCTCTGCTGCTTAAGCATCAGTTCTTGGGTCTCTCCTTTCTGACCTTCTTCCTCCTCCTCCTTCATGCTGGCAAACCTCTCCAGCTTCGCTTTCACATTTTGGATCAATACATATACGGCTCGGCATAATAAATGAGCTCCAGGACTAAGTAATACATTCAGTTTCTGCTGGAGGCGAAGAAGGCGTTAAAACAGCAGCTGCCTCTCTCACCGTGAGAGGAGCGTGACTCCTCTGTGACATTACTTTATGACAAAAAGTTAGTTTCACACTTTTTGCTTTTGTCGTCTTCACCAAAACCAAAAATCTACAACTTTTAATGTGCACGGGCAAAGGTTACATTTTAAAGTTAGAAACATTGTATCTAAATGAAATAATAATTTTAGCCGTCCATTAAAATGGTTGAGGCAGAAAATATTTTTTGCTCGTGTGTGTGTGTATGTGTGTGTGTGTGTGTGTTTGTAATCTTGTATGGCCCATTTTTCCAACTCATACTACATTGTGAGGACCAACTGCTCCTTATGGGGCCCCAAGCCCAGGTCTCATAAGAAGAAGTGCTGCAGTGTGTTAGGGGTTAAGTTTAGGACTAAGGTGTGAATTGAGGATGGGTAGGATCAGGGTTAGGCTATAGAAATGAATGGAAGTCAATGCAAAGTCCCTATGTAGATACACAAATGTGTCTGCGTACATGTGTGTGTTAATGAGTCTGTTTGCAAAATATATCACAAACCACTGGACAGATTTAAATCAAACTCAATTTGTGCCAACTCAGTTCAAGATGGCTGTCATAGCTGAGCAACCTTAGTGAGCACAAAAAAGGCTCAGTCAGTTTGATAGATGTTGAGCTACAAATTGGTGTGGTAGCAGCTGTAAGTAATTTCCAGCACATACTCTGAGTGTTATACAATGTGCAAGATAGAAGAAGATGTTAACTTCAACACTACCTGCTGGAGTCCACATTGTTTGTCTGTTAGCAAAAAAACTCACAAACCACTACCGGTAGATGGATTTCATTTTAATCTTCATGAAATGATCATATCATGCACGTCTACAGCTGTTTATCTTTTGGAGTCCATCTAATTCAAAATGTCTCTAATAAGGTCCAAACATCCACAAAACTTAGCCAGAAAATTAAATAATATCTGTGTGTAAACTAGGTGTATAACAAGTCATGTCAACGTTCTTTATCATCATTCGCATCTCATGTTGTTCATCAGGTGGAATGAAATTGTGTACACAGGGTCCCAGTTACATCCAACAATAGCAAAAGTATAAATTGTCAAAGAAAACTGTAATAAAGTTCTAAGATATGAACTAAGAAATATGCCAAGCTAAAAATAAGCTAAACACTTAATAGTGCAAAAACAATACGCTGAACAACACTAGCATGAACATGAGGTGACATCATATTCATGGTCATTTGAGGTAAAATGGCTGTATAACTGAAGCAGGTGGGTCATGGAATACAAAGGAAAAACACTCACTGTAGCCAGTTCATCAAACTTCCCGAACAGTTCGTTGAGCAACTTGACCAGTTCCTGAGCGGTGCACTGAGAGGCCAAGCTGGTGAAACCTACGATGTCTGCAAACAGGATGCTGTCAGGAGGAGCAAAACATTTTGAAATAAGAAATAAGCTCATAAAGACAAGTGTTAAATGAGCATGAGGATTTACACAATCTTATAGCGTAAAAAACTGTTTCCTTTTAATTATTTATTTGGTAAATCTTTAACAGTCAAACTACATCCAAACTGTGCTAATTTAACTTGTTACATATCAGAAATATTCAGAAAGATGAGTGCTATGACTTTTAACATTTGTACTATTTATACTTGAAAAATATTTCCCATTAGAAAAACATTTAGATGTTAACAATTCTTTCAAGAATCATTGTTCTCTGAAACCTTCAACATAATGGCATGAGTTTAATCTTTTTTTCTTTCTCGTTTTAACTTTTTGCCTTTATAATGGTTATTTTAGCTTTTTGCTGTGTGTAAATTTTAGATTTTAACTATGGCTGCTCTCCTTTTTGCTACAGTCATGCTAACTTAACTTTGCTAAATTGCTGTGCTAATTTAAACTGCTATTTGTAGCTTTTGGTTATCCACCCATCCATTATCTTTACCCGCTTCTTCCTTATTTTTCATGGGGGTCACTGGTGCCCATATCCAGCCATCACTGTGTGAGAGGCAGGGGACATCTGGACAGGTCTCCAGTCCATCTCAGGGACACAGAGACAAATGAGAGAAACAACCATTCACTCTGTCACTCACACCTAGCGACCATTTAGTGTTATCCATCAGCCTAACATGCATGTTTTTGGTCTGTGGGAGGAAAACAGAGTACCTGGAGAAAACCCACGCATGCACAGAGAGAACACGCAAACTCCACCCAGAAATGTACCAGGCCAGGATTTGAACCAGTGACCTTCTTTCTGAGAGGCGGCAGCTCTACCAACTGCACCACTGTGCCACCCAGCTTTTGGTTGGTGATGTGCAATTTTTATCTATTTATTTGTTATCAGCTGTTTTGTTAATTTCTACTTCTGTTTACATTTGTGTCACTTTTATTTGGTGAAGAAGGGAGCAGCCAATAGACAAACAACAATGTGCTGACTTCAGAGGGCCTCGATGGACAACGCAGAGCAACCACTGGTAAACAATAAAAACAAAAAAAACTTATGACGTATCTAAAAGTTCCAAAGATTTTGCAAACTATCAAGTCCCACAAGCTTTTCACTTCTTTCACAGTTTATAGATTAAAATATTTGTATTTTTTCTTTAGCTCCTCTGGTCTTCTTGGTTACTCATAGCGCATTGCAGTGATTTTCTGGCCTTCCTGGAGTGAAACAGCCACAGGTAATACAAATAAAAGTGTAACCAGCTAATGGTGATCAGCAAGTACTATAATCTAATCCTTGATAAGTGAAAGCGTCTTTCAGGCCAACCACTAAATCAATTACGAAGCTGAATTGCCTGCTGCTGGCGAGCTGCTGTAGTGGATGAGGAAGGTGTTGAAAGCCACTTAGCCCCTCATTCATCTGCTCAGAGGCAGCCCAGATGGCAGCAAAACAAGGCGTTATGGATCTTATTGACTCAGTGAAAACTTGCCACTCTCAGTGGAGCCGGAGCAGGATTTGTTTCCAACTGACTCGCAGATTTTTGCACACCTCATCCTGAGAAAAACAGGAGGGTAGGTTTATTATTTTCCTCCTGTTGGTAAGATTTTGCACGTCTACAAGAGCTATGGCATCTCTGAAGGCTACACATTTTATAACATTGAGTATTTCACAGAAAAAAGTGTGTAATTTTCACTGTAGAAAATTTCAGCAGCGTGTAATGATTACACAGCAGCTTGTTTGCAATGTCATCTGTCATGTGAGGAATAATTTCAGCATGTTTCTTTGCTTTTTATGCATGGAGGCTGAGTAAAAACACCATTTATTTTGGTGGTATATTAACCAGACAAAAGCAGTGCCTGCTTTCTTAATTTATTTGTTTTGTGCATTTGCAAAATGGGGTAAATTTGACTCCTCAAGTAGTGAGGCATTAATGCATGAACTCCTCTTGCAATCACAAAATCCTCACACTTCTAATTCTCAGAACCTTTTTTTCATCATTAGCCTATCATGTCTAAATGTCAGGCAGTTTCACAAACCAAGTGATTCACTTTGTCGGATTTTATTTTGAATTATGACATTTAAATGAATAAATCAATTTTTTCAAATACAATACTATCCCTCAGTAAATGGCAAAATACTAAAATGATAACAAAGTTTTTAGCCTTGTATTTTTAATATTCCTCTCAAAGACCATGCTGACACCTTGCATAAACTTCGCATTCTGACTGAGTTTTATGTGGTGTGTGAAAATGACAAATATTTTAAATATGTCTGAATTATCATGACGTACGCCTTTTTCCCTGTTGCAGAACTTTTTAAACAGAGAAAAAAAACTGTTGCACTTGGCTAATATTAACCTGTCTCAACAGAACCAGAATCCAAACTGATAAAAAACAGAGAGTCGTGGTTCTGTGGGAGACGTCCTACGCTTCAACCAATGAGCTGAATGGTTACAGCCATGTATAAATCTCCCACTAATAAGACGTGGGAGAGAATCACCCTGAACCACGTACAACTGGCAGCTGAACAAGGGGGTCCCACAAGGGTCTATTTCAGAGCCCTTACTCTTTTTACTCTATATTACTCAAATCTGTGATCAGCTTAAAATCTCCTCTTATCATATGTATGCAGATGATACAGTGCTATACTCATCAGCGCCATCTCTATATGCAGTACACTTAAATCTTCAGACTGATTTTAACACCTTACAGAATGCTTTCCATGATTCAAAATTAGTCCTGAAAGCTTGCAAAACCAAAGTTATGTTGTTCTCCCATAATTCTGTGGTAACGCATTCTATTAAAACACTGAATGGTGATATCATAGAGCTTGGAGACACACACATATCTTGGTATTTGGCTGGATAAAGATCTTAATTTTAAACATCACTTTACATACTGTATCTAATTTAAAAAAAAAAGCTCAAATTTACTTTGTTTTTGTATAGACTAAAATCATGTTGTAGTTTTTTATTTCTCCCCCTAAGTGGCTTGTAACAAGTTTGTTTTTGTCACAGCTGGACTATGGAGACACAATCTATAGATTTGCCTCCCCCACTACCTTAGCTAAACTGGAGCCCATTTACCATGATGCTCTGAGGTATACAACAGGTTTACCCTTTAGGACTCACAATTGTACTTTAAAAAACCTTACTGGACTCACTTCACTCAATATTCAAAGGATGAAGCTTTGGTATATTTTCATATACAAAGTCATTTAAGGAAAATTACCATCATATATCATCTCCAAGTTCATTTCACTACAGAACACACACAGTCTCAGGGCCAGTAGCTGGCTGTAATTTTTGGTACCCTTTTTGCGCAGAGTCAGGAAAGATGAGTTTGTCCTATTTCACACCATGACCTTGGAATGATCTGCAGCTTAAGTTGAGTTGTGGTTGGAGACTTTTATTCCTTTATCTAGTTTTAAACAAAAAGTCAGCGGTCTGAGTCACATCTTTCACTTGTAATGTTTGTGTCTCAAACTGTGATTTTTTTTAAACTTGCATTGCATTTTATGTCTTATTACTGGGTATTTTGTTGTAAATATTTTAATATTACTGTTACTGTTATTAAGACTGTAGGTGTAAATGTAATGGCTTGTTTGCACATTGCACATTGGTCAGGACATCCTTATAAAGGAGATTAACAATCTCAGTGGGTTTATTTCCTGGTAAAATAAAGGTAAAAATAAAATAACAATGTGGTACAACCACATCTGGACCAGCTCCAGCCGACTGGTCTCTCTCCTTACTGTCCACCTCCACGGACTTCCACTACACTTCAGATGACTGCTACCTTCAGAGGTTTTCTGATGTCTGCTGTCGTAGTGGACTTCAGGAGGACCAAGACACCTGTGACTCCAGTTTTCTTCAGTCAACTCAGTTTACTTCAGTCAGTGTGGCAACGGAAGGCTAGATCTTGTATCACACACTGAAAATAAAGTGGATAGGGCTGGCTCAAAAGACCATTGTGCTCTACAAGAAGGGACAAAGCTGTCTCTCTTTTCTGAGACCACTTTGCTCTCAGGAAGTTTTTTTGAGCCAGTGGCCAAACTGATCGACAAAGACAGCAAAGTTTTGGGATTAATCTAGACCCAGTAATGGAGGTGTCTGAGAGGAGGTTGTTGCGCAAACAAAAAAACATTTTTGACAATAACTTCCACCTACTGCATGACATGCTGGTTGGTTGTAGAAGCACAACAAAGTGACATCACCTCTAAACACCACAGAGAATCATGTGGCCATCTAACTGTACAACTCTTGACCATGATGAAAGTCCAGATAGCATTTAAAGACTTAAAGAGAAAATGGCAGTATGGATTGGACAGTTGCCAACAAGGAGTTAAATATTTAAGGTTTGGAGCAGAATAGACTCACACTGAAAAGATCGTATCATGAAGCATGTGTAAATACAGAAAAATACAGAAACATCTGGGCTTTGGTACTTCTTTTCACAAAAGCAACAATCTAGAAAGAAAGATCCACCTTGCAAACATGCATCTTTAAAGACATGCATCCATCCAGATGTGTACATCATCAAACAACAAGTTTTACTGCACTCACATAGTTTTACAAGTCTAAGTGGGACCACATCAAAATGCCCGTCAAAAGTAAAGACAAAAGGTCGGATATCTGAGCTGAGTTTGTTGGACTGAAGTAAAGTTGAAAGCATAAAGACAAGAGTTATCCTAAAGTTTTTCCACACATTGATTGGATACTTTCTGGTAACCAGCAGAGAACAAGGTCAGTTCTCTGGGTGGTTGCTTTAAATCAAAGTAATAGAAAATGTGTTGCATATTGATGAACACCCCCTTTTTGAAAAAGTGAATGAAGTTGATTTTACAGCTGAGGTCAGAAGTTTTCATCACTCATAAGCACACTTTTTATATTGAAATATCTGAACCTTTTTTTCAAGTGAGGGATAGTTTAACAACATATAGTCATGGGAACAAAGACAGCCCTTCTTCTTAGCCAGTTAGTGCTCAATAAATGTGTTGGGGCAACTTTCAGCTACTGCCACGTCACATTTTAGCTCGTTATCTGAAAGACTGACAGAGTTATAGATATTTTTTTCATTAATCAGTTGTAGATGTACACCCAATGAGTTCTTTCTGAAAGTTTATTAATTAATTAAATATTTTGCTAATTTTACAGACACACCCACATAAAGGCAAATACATTATTGCATTTGCTTTCTGCAGTAGGCAATAAAAATAATTGACGGCATTTGTTACATAATCATTCCACCCTGGAAAAAGAACGATTCAAATAAATCATTAACGGTCCAAATCAATCAGACCTTCATGCCCAGGATGAGAGGACGGAAACTTCCATCTGTGGATTTTATCATTTGCAAACTCATCTGTTGTATCAGAACCGTGACAATGAGAGACATCTGATCAATCCAGATGAGCAGTGTCGCAGACAGAGCTGAGGTTGCAGCATGAGGAGGGCCCTGGTTCCTGCATCGTGACTGTTGCTCCGCTCTTTTTGGCAGGTTACTCAGGAGCCTGATGTATGCAAAGCCGGGATCACGACTGCTGCTCAACCGAAGAGCTCTCTTGTGTAGTTTTCCTTTGAATGGTGCAGTGCTGCAGGTCATGCTGCTGTGTGGTGTGTGAGAGGGCCAAGCTAGATGTGTGTGATCAAACGTTCTTGGGGCTGCATCAAAGGGGGTTGGTGATCGAGGGGGGAGTGGGGTGTCAAGCTCCTGTGCGGCTATATAAAGATGATACTTTTAATATTTATTTTTGTGTGTGGAGTTAAATCGGCGCTACCTCAGTGGGCGAGGGAACACATTTGGCCAAATTCCCAAACCAGCTACTCTAGTCAATGAGCCGCGATGCTCCCAGGTTTTTGGGTAAATGTGGGTGTCGATCGGACAAACAGTCAGAGAGAAAAAATAATAATTCAGACAGGCAGACATAAAGTGGAGGGCTGTCTCTTGACAGCAGAGCTGTTGATATTCTACCAGCACTTGACTCCTACACTAAGCAGCACTAATGCACCTCTCCTCCTCTCTTTACTGCCTCACTGGAATGCAATCAGTTCGGAGTCGGGTCAGGTTCTCACACAGTTGGGTTTTATGCATCGTGCCTCCAAAAAAGCTGCTACAATTCACAAATAAAAGGACCAGGAAATATTGTGTGTTTTTTTTAAAGCATGAATGCATTTAAGAGAACAAACTGCCTACATCTTACAATGCTGCTGTCTTTACTTACTCTGCTCTTCATTTTTGTGTTTACATTTATTTATACGATTAACATGTTTTTCTTTGTCTTTCTCCCCATGGAAACCACACCTGGACCAGCCATTTTGTGTTTGTCTTAATTGCCTTCCTGTCCTCTCTTTCTCCAGCCAGTTGAGGCGGATGGCTGCCTATCCTGAGTTGGGTTCTTCTGGACTTTCTTCTTGTTAAAAAGTTATTTTTCCTTCCCACTGTCACCTCACCCCAGTGTTGCTTAGGATGGGAGGCTCCGATGAAGGGAAGATTTAACCTTGGCTTCTCTAGATTCATTCAACCTTTAATTATACAGGTTAATCTCATTAAGTCATGAGGACTCATTTACTAGAGAGACCTGTTTTAGACAGATAGATAACTTATGCTACGTGGCATTTTTAATGTATGTGAATGTTTTGTATTACATTTAGTTAAGTGTTGCTATACAACGAAAGTGAATTTAATTTACCCATTCTTCGTCTGTTTCCAACATGATTTTGGATATGCTACCTAACTTTGGAAAGAAATAGTCAAAAGCAATAATCTTGATTAGGAATGTTGTGCTTTGGCATTTGGCAGCAGTACATTGTATGATGGAGACAGATTTTACAAAAAACTAATTGAAAACAATAGCATTTTTGCAACACAGGTTGTAAAATCAAGTCATCTTTTGAGCTGTAGCTCGGCCATACTTCAGAGTATGAGCATCGTTCAAAGTTTAAACTGGTAAAAGATAGTTAGACTTTACATGACTGAGCTAGCATTTTGATAACTTTAATATGTATTTATTTATTTAAACAGTCAGGGTTTACCTCAGCTGGGGCAACAAAACCAACAGTCTAATCAAGAAAGCACATCAGAGTCTCTACTTCCTCAGGCGGCTGAGACGAGCTGGTCTGAGAAGCTCAGTCCTCACCTCCTTCTACAGGTGTGCAGTGGAGAGCATCCTGTGCTCCAGCATCAACGTGTGGCATGGAGGCTGCACAGCTACAGAAAGAAAAGCTTTGCAGAGAGTGGTGAAGGCTGCACAGAAATCTGTCGGAATCAGCCTCCCCACCATCACAGACATCTACACCTCCAGATGCAGGAAGAGAGCCACCTGCATCATGAAGGACCACACTCACCCAGCACACACACTTTTTGCCCCGCTCCCCTCAGGAAGGAGGTTGAGGAGCATTAAGTGTAGAACCACTAGACTGAGGAACAGCTTCTACCCTGAGGCTGTTAGACTCATGAATCTCTAACCAGAATAATCACTGTGGAAAATTACATCATGCTGCTGCTGATCTGTTTCATGTTGCTGCTGATCTGTTTCATGTTGCTGCTGATCTGTTTCATGTTGCTGTTTTCATTCGTGCGCATCTGCTCACACAGACTCATGTTCTTGCTGCTGTTCGGCGTAATGTTTTTATGCTAATAGTGCTGTGTATTTTTAGTTAATGTTTTTCTTAGTTCATATCTTAGATCTTATTGCTGTTTTTCTTTTACATTTTATACTTTTGTTGGATGTAACAGGACCCTGTGTCCACAATTTCATTCTACCACATGTACCACATGTGGTGTGTATGAAAAATAAAGAACCTTGAAACCTTGAAACTTTACTTGCAGGCAGCATTTAGCGTGGGAGTCTCCAAAATGTTTTGAAACGTTTGTAGGGGTTCTCAATTTCCTCGCTGGAGTCGCAGGGCCTTGCTAGATTGACTGTGTCAGAAAATTTGCTAAATATTTTTGTTAACGGGTCTCAGAGTCATCGCCAGTGTCTCAGCCGCTCCTCACTTCAGGTCCAATGAGTCAAAGTTTGAGAAGTGACTTGAACTAGTCGCCAACAGTCGCAGCAAAGTCAGACTTTAAACTTTATCGAGGTTAAAGTTGAGGAGAAAATCAACACAACAGAAACTAAAAGTCCTGAAAGAAAAAGATGAATAAATCAATTCCCTAAATTGGCCTTGGGTTGAAGTCTTTCAACCCTAACCTGTCACTTCCAACTGCAGCATTTTCATATTTATTTACTTGTTTGTTTGTTAGGAGGATTTATTGAAAAACATTTGATCTCGGTGACTGTAGGCGTCCTGCACAGTTTTACTTTAAGACTCAGAAAACTAGATTTTTCGTGCTGATTCTGCTCTCTGAATCGTTCTGATGATGAAATGTATCTAATATCAAGGAAACTCCCACAGTTTAATCAGCACCATTAAACCTGCGACCATCATTTTTTGAATAAACAGAATCATCTCCTCAGTGTTTTTTGTTAAACGCCTAAAGGTTCAATTATCAACCACTTTTTGCTAAGATTTTTGTTAAAATTTTAGTTTTAGAAGTGGGTAAAGAAAATGAATGGACGGTTATTTTTGCTTCACCAGACTTCAGCTGAAGTTTCTCAGCTTGAAGCGACTTGCGGACGCTTTTACTTTTTCCTCTGAGGACAGCTGCATCCTGATGCAGTGAAAGTGAAGCCGAAGCTACGAGCTCCATCTCTAACTCCAAAAGAAAAAGACGGATAAACCGGAGGAACATTCTTATCTGCTGGTTGAGTCCATCTGTGTTAACGACCAAACTGAATTCTTCTCCGTCTATTTTGGACCATGACGTCCTGCCAGGATCAAAACGCTCCCCGCACTCCCCCACGGTTGTCATGACACCCCCATACCTGACATTGTCATGACGCTGGATGTAGATCTTATGAAAGATCCTCTCAGGAGGCTTCAGGAAGTCCTCCTTCATCTCCATGGCAACATTTCTGGGGAGCAGGCTCATTAGCAGACGCTCCTGAGGAGGGAGATGTTAAGACAGAGGAGGAGGCAGAGTTAGGACTTTAGACTCTGCTGAATGGGAAACATGGCCTCTTCTCTCACTGTCAGCATGGGAATGTTGATTAAAATGTGAGAAAACAAAAACAGAATTTCATCAGCTGTAACATAAAACTTCTATTTTTCTGTAATGACACCAAATCAAACAACTGCACTTTCTAGGTTTAGAAAGTTTTTTGTTCCTTCTTCAACTTCTGGTGTTATTCTAAACAAAAACAACAAAAAATAGAATAAAACAACCTGTTTGTGGGGTCGGACATTTCTCATCCCCAAAACAACTTGTTCATTGTTTTAGTTGCAGAAAATCACAACTTGTCTGGTTTTAGAAGAATGTGTGATTGTAAGAAAAAATAGTTTTAGCTTTAATCACAATCAAGTGGGTAAGAAAAACCTGTATCTAATCATAAACAACAAATATCCTAATGATGAGGCCTGCACAAACAACATGTTTTACCTGTTCACTATTATTAATCGTCAGTTAATTATATTTTGTGTCTCTTATTTAAAAGTGTGACCTTTTTTGTTACTTTAACTAGTATTGGGTCATCTAATGTTTTTAGATGCTTCAAACCAACAATCTGGCATATTTTAATGAGAGTGTTGTGTCATAAAAATATTTTAGACTTGAGTGTTCGTAAAAGGATGTCATTTATTCTCAAAGTGGAATGCAAAGGTAATGAAACAGTTTCCTGGTCTCGAACTGTTAAATATTCTTAAGGATGGTGATTTTTATCCTTATTAAAATAAACCCTTGAGAATAAATGTTGCTCTAATGTGAAATTGTTTTTTAATGAGGAAATAAACCTCCCTTAGCTGTAAAAGAGTTGTAATAAAAAATATGCTGCTGTTGATTCTCAGTCATTCAGGACTTCCACATGAACTCAATCAAAAGCAGCTAGACCTTTTTTTTAATTCTTGAAGATGTTTTTCCATCCATCCATCCATTTTCTTTACCCGCTTATTCCATTTTGGGTCACGGGGGTCGCTGGTGCCCATGTCCAGCAATCACTGTGCGAGGGGCGGGGTACACCCTGGACGGGTCGCAAGTCCATCACAGGGCCACATAGAGACACATGAGACAAACAACCACTCACTCTTTCACTCACACCTAGGGACAATTTAGAGTTACCAATCAGCCTAACATGCATGTTTTTGGACTGTGGGAGGAAACCGGAGTACCCGGAGAAAACCCACGCATGCACGGAGAGAACATGCAAACTCCACCCAGAAAGGCCCCTGGACCGGGGTTTGAACCAGGGACCTGCTCGCTGAGAGGCAGCAGCTCTACCAGTTGCGCCACCGTGCTGCCCGAAGATGTTTTTTGTTTATTTTATTTTTTCAAACCCTCTGCAGATTCAACAACTCACACAATTAAAACATACATACATCCATCCATCTATTCATCCATCCATCCATTTATCATCTTCCGCTTGTTCCGAAGTCGGGTCACGGGGGCAGCCAGTTGCTTCCTATGTTATCAGTCCATTAAATGGCTGTTATTAGTTGTTATCATCCCCATAGGTTGTGTTCAGACTGTCCCTCCTAGTATGTTTAAAGGTACGTTCTTATTGCTGATAATAAGTCTAAAACTGGAAGCTTTATTTTTAGCTTTATTTAACCCTTTTCCTACACCTAACCTTTCACCTGACCCAGAGCACTGACATTTAACCTAACCCCCTGACTGTATTATTAGTGATAAGAACGTACCTTTAAACCTACTAGGAGGTACAGGAGGGGCATTCTGAATGCAACCTATGGGGATGATAACAAACATTTAACGGCTGATAACAGTCCAAGTGTGAAGCAGCAGCTTAAGCAGGAAGGCCCAGACATCTCTTTCCACAGCCACCTCTTCCTGCTCATCTGGAGGGACCCCAAGTTGTTCCTAGACCAACTGAGAGACGTAGTTTGTCCTGGGTGTTCCCTGAGGTCTTCTCCCAGTCAGCCATGCAGACTGGGAGGAGACCTGGAGGCATGCCCGACAAGCATGTTAATTAATTTGGAGCTCCGCTTGAACCTCCTCAGATAAGAAACAAAACATCTTCAGGAAGCAAAGTCGAGCTTTGATTCTCAGCTTGACTCCAAAATGTCCAAATGACCCATTCAAAGAAAAAAAAACTAGAAATCATAATTTTTCCACTGACACACTGTGGGGGCTTGTTCTGCAGAAACTCCTTTCAGTCTCAGCAGATGAGCTCTTGTTTTGTGGAAGGTCTCAGCTGCAGCAGCGTGAAGTACCCTCCAAACTCTCCCAGGATGTCAGCTGGTTGTAAACGCACAATGAATCATCTGAAGGCCGCGCTGAATAGCTGCTAAGAGGCAGAGTTACACTTCCATTCACAAAACGGTGAGTGGAACAAAAAGACAAACACTGGAGTGCAGCAGCTGTCTCGCTTACTGAGTGGGAAATGCCTGAACGCTGACGCTCCAGCGCTCGTTTGGTGCGCAGGTTTTATATTTTTCCAACATGGCAGACAAGTGACTCGTCGGGTTAAAGTGGGGTTATTCAGATTAACTCAAGAGTTAGTCTTTTCTACTTCTACAAGGAGCGAGGAGCTGCAGTAGCTTGCTGGTCAGTGCCATGCTCTTGTAATCCTGAGGTTGCGGGTTTGAGCCCAGGTTGCGTCTGGAAGGGGATCCAGCGTAAAACCGTTGCCAAATATTTCATGCGAGTTCGCTCGCTGTGGCGACCCCTGAAGAAGAAAGCAGCCGAAAGAAAGGAGTCTTTTAACTCCTCTTTTTATTTTTCTGTCTGTTCCAGCTTTATTTCACCATGGACCTAAAGATTTATTAAAGAACCACACATCTGGTCTCTGTCAGTTCTTATTACTGTCTCCAAAACAACAATGAAATCACCTGGATCTGCTTAAATAAAGACACTTTTGCATGTGTACTCTTAAGTTAGACTTCTAAATTCTGCCAAATGTGCTTTAATTTAAATGATAGTGTAGTGAACCAGATGACCTGATGATCTGACCCTCATCTGACCCTGATGACCTCAAATCTACCAGATGGACAGAGACTGTTATTTTCATTGATCTGAATAAGTCTCAGCCATCTGATGACTTTCTTTCTTGAATTAATCAAGCAGAAAAGACAATCCTCTATAATCATTACTGTCTTACAAATGTTTTGATAATCAAATTGTGTTAGTTTCACTCAATGCTTACAGGTTGAAAAGAACTACTCATTTTTATTTTACATAAACAGTAAGTAATGATTTTTATTCCTCATTCAAAGAAGAAATCACCTGAATATGCATTTCTTGATTTTCTGTCTGAAATGAGTCAAGTCGTAAGTGTGTGAAAGTTGAAGCTTCGGTCAACTAAATGTTTACTGAAGAAGAAATGTCATGTTTTACTATTTGAAAAGATTACCAAGTGTGAGACTCCACGAAGTCTGGTCGACTGCAATAATCTTTTCTGTATGTTGAAAACAATCCTTGACTTTTGATAATAACTTACGTCAAAAAACCACACCTCTTTCTGGTACATCCACGAATCAGAAAGCTCTAAATTGAACCGGAAGTCGACCCAAATAAAATGTGGCAACTTCCCAGTTCATGTTAGAATGGAAAAGATTCCAGGAAAAAAAAAGTTCTCAAGGAGTTCAGAAGAGAACTAGAGTTATGGAGAGTTTTGGAGTTGGAGTCTGAGAAGATCTGAAAGAGTCTGAGAGCTGCTGACAATGAAGAGTCAGAGTTGCCGAGAATCCAGAGACGTTTTGGGATTCTGATTCTGTTTGAACTAACCACGCACGACTCTCCAAGGATTTTAGCTGTTCTCAACGGAGACGCTGATATCAGTTGAAAAGGATTCTTACTGAGGTGATCGATCGTCAACAAGGTAACGGTTTCTTCTTCGACTAAAGTGTACCTGGGACAAGCTGAGATACCTGATGGGAGCGTGCAATTTCTGGTCAAACAGATTAAATTCCCTCACATATTCCTCTGTAAGATAAATCTCAATTTCCTCTTAAACTCACCTCTCTCTCATAAATCAGTACAGATATTTTTAGAAATATCTGAAGCAAAGTCCTCAAATCACCGCCGAGTGATTTGAAGTTCATTATTTGTGAAACTGTCTGTTATTATTTTCATATTTTGCCAAATTAATGTAAATGTTTGATGTTAAACTTTGATTCTGAAAATAAATGACTCCATTCATTTGATGGGTCAAAGGTAATGACGTCTCTCGTTCGCATTCCTTTAAATTCAATGCACGGCATTACACAGTCAGAAAAATGAAGAACTCGTGAATATTGTATGCATATATATTTCATATATTTGTCATACAACAAGTGACACGTACCCACGTGACTCACTACAATAGGAAGTCCTTCTATAATAAGAAATGGTCAGTTTAAATTACTTTCAAACATCATGAAGTATTTGGCTTCACATTAGTACTTTGTACAATGAAAGAGGACAGACACAAGTACTTTAGTTATAGTACTTGCTAATCCTGAGTACTGATACAGAATAGTTATTGAGTTAGTACTTAAACATTAAACAGTGACATTAGAAACATTTATTTTTATTAAGAGCACAAAACAGTCTTAGCATCTCCTGTTTTATCTTGAAATATCTCAAAACTGGAGATTATTTTATTTGTTGGCTCACGATGACTTGCAAAGATAAAGAGGAAATTACATCAAGAAGCATAAAAGAGGTATTGGGTTTGAAGTATAGGGGTGTTTCTATGAGTACAAGTACTTGAGAGTGGTAACTAGACCCATACCAATAATGGCATCCCAATACTGATGCTGGTATTCCAATGTCGATACTGGTGTCCTGATAACAATGTTGGTGTCCCAGTATGAATACTGGTATCCCAATATTGGTATTCCAAAACCAATATTGGGATACCAACACCAATATTGGTATTCTGATATCTTGACTCTGATACTGGTACCCCTATGCCAACACTGGTTTCCCAATGTTGATATTGGTATCCTGATACCAATATTGGCAGTGGAGGACACTACTATTTCTCTTATTTTTTTTTTTGTAGTACTTCATAAAATTTAAAAAACCTTTAGAAAACAATGCTTGTTTGTACATTCAAAACTAATTTAACTTTTGAAGTCAACCCAGTCCAATTGGCAGCCATAGCCAATTGACCTTAGCAAACACAAAACTGTTGATAACTGTCAGTTTAATAGACACTGAGCTAATATTTGATGTAGTAGTAGTTGAAAGTCATCCCTAATACATACTCTGAGCACTAACGATTTGTGTGAGATTAAAACTTTAGGGTGAAAGATGGTATGGGTGGGTGGTATGTGTTCTTTTAAGGAATGGTCGAAGACAATAGAGAAGCTCGGGGACGTTAGCTTGTCTGCTTTTACATGATCTGATTTATTCTCTCCTTGACAAACTATTTCTCCTCGAGTCATGGAGGAAATACTTTGTTTTCTACATCAGTCAGCTTCACAAAAACTGAGTTTTTCTCAGATTGTCTCATTTATGTAAGTCTGGTCCATAAAAGTCACATCGTCTGCTTCTCCTGGTTTGTGCAAAAAAGGAGGAAGCTTCAAATTAATTTTTGTCTCTGAGAACGGAACAGAGGAGCCAGTTTATGGCACAGATGTGCTGAAAATAGCCTTTCCCTCATTCAGGAATCAATAGATCTGTCTCAGTTGACACACCTGAGGGATAATCAGAGGTGCGTTTCAAACATCTGATGGGGGATCATCAGGTCTGAGTTGTGTGCTCAAAGGCACATCAGCAGAAAGCCGGTTGTTGGTTTCTGATATCAGAGCTTCAGTTACTGTAAATGGCAGAAGGAAAGCAGCCTGCTTGTATAATTGCCTGTCGGGGGGGGAGCCTGCTCCTGCTGAGGGAAAACAAGCATATCGTCTAATCTACAAGGAACAGGTGACAAGTGTGCACGTGGACTCATGAGCATTGTGTAGAACAAAGGTAAGCTGTGTACTAAAAATACCTCAAGTATCTCATGACTGGATGGATTTTATTGAAACTTTCAGAAACCGTCAGTGGCTGCACATCTACAAGGGATTAAATGTTGGAGTCAACTCGATACAAGATGGCCGCCACAGCCAACTGAGTGGGAAAATACAAAAATTGTGACAACTTAACCAATTTTACTGAGATTGAGCTGAAAATCTATCGCGGAAAAAGTTGAGAATTATCCCAAACACACGCTCTAAGCTCTAAACAGTGCAGCGTCATCTTTACCTAAACCTTTTATTTTAAACAATGACAGCAGCCTTGTTTGTCTGTTAGCAAAATATCTCATAAACCGCTCGACTGATTTCAGTGAAACTCTCTGATAGTAATCATCAGACATACATCTACAATTAACCAACACCTGGAGTCAACCTCTACATTTGCCCACACAGAAATGACTATAATTTACTCAGAATGACAGATTCTGAGCTAAAATTTGGTTCACTATCAGCCGAAGGTCATCCTCAACACTCCGAGCATTACCACAGCTCTCAATATGTGGCCCAGCTTGAATTTAAAGCTGTCATGAAAGGCTGCGGGCGATATGCATTCCTAATTAATACACAAAATCATTAATTTATTTTTACCAAGTGATGGATGAGGAACAGAGTGTTTCTGTGAACGATGCCTCGTTGTTGCGTAGGTAAATCACAGCATGTAGGTGTGTGTGGGGGAACGTGTGCGCCTCAGTAATTGTTCTTTCCTTAAATAGCTGCTGTCATAGTTACTGAGTGCCTGTGGGCAAGTTGTTGGAATGCATTTCTACCTGAAACCTTTCAAAACTTCTGACGCGCCCATGTGTGGCTGCTCAGCGCATTTCACGCGCTCTTTCCCGGTCCTCGCTCGTCTCACGCCTCACCTGCTTCTCATTTTCATCCTCCAGCCTCAGACGCTCCTCGATGCAGTTTCGGGCTTGCAGGAAGACCTTCCGCTGGGTGCGCTCGGTGAGAATCCTCACAAACACCCCTGACAAGTTGACGCTGGTGAAGAGCACGGCGTTGGCCACCAGCTGCACACAAACAGGAACAGACATGTTTGACAGAGCTGCAGGTGGAGGAGCACATCTGAAGGCAAGGTTACATCATGTAGGTTTGAGTTAGAGGGATAAACATGAGCAAGGAAATGGTCTTTGTTGATCATAAATCAGACTTTTTATTTCCTGCCTTGCTCACCTGTATCTTTGACTCTGATAAAAACACTGACTTTATGTGAGAGGTCATATGGGTCAAATTATCTCATAAAAATGCTCAAATATTCACAGGAGACTTCTTTTAGAAACTCCAATTGTTAAAAAAAGTTGACAGGTTATGTAAAACATTAAAAATGTAGTTTTTTATCATATTGAGCACATTAATTAAGAAATTGTACAATTTTTATAGAAAAATAAGGTACTGTAATTTAATGACAGCAACACATCTCAAAAAGTTGTTCCAGAATTCTATGTTTCCCCCTGAGAAGACTCCCATCTCCTTCTAACAAGTCTGTAAACATCAAGAACCCGAAGAGACCAGTTGTTGGAGGTTTTGGAGGACCTAAGGAGACCAGTTGTTGGAGGTAATGGTGGATCTGAGGAGACCAGTTGTTGGATGTTTTGAAGGACCTGGGGAGACCAGTTTTTGGAGTTATTGAAGGGCCTGAGGAGACCAGTTGTTGGAGGTTTTAAAGGATCAGAGGAGACCAGTTGTTGGATGTTTTAAAGGATCAGAGGAGACCAGTTGTTGGAGGTTTTAAAGGATCAGAGGAGACCAGTTGTTGGATGTTT